GACACTCTATGAAAAAGACACCTGCACCCGAATGTTTATAGCAGCACAATTCACAATTGCAAAGATGTGGAAACAACCCAAGTGTCCATCAATATATGAATGGATTAATAAAATGTGGTATATGCATACTTTAATTTTAACGATAATCCTGTGGTGGGGAAATGCTCTGTCATTTTTTTTTCATCTATATTTCCTCACCAGACATCAGCAAACAGAGAAATGACATAATAAGTTCTGGGTTGTATAGGGATTTTGGGGTTAGCAGGAAAATGGTTTGTGGAGCAGAGACTAAAATCCATCGGAAGGCTGATGTGGGGGCTCAGATGGAAAGACGATAGTCAGAACTAACGCCAAAGCAGAGGAAGACTAGCCCCACGCTGGTGATATTGGGATATGGAAAAGGAAGCGTGTCAGTGTTCAAGTCTCCTTGGGGTGACTGGGTGTCTGTTGACATTCTGAATCAAGAGAGAGCATCAAGGACAAGTGTCTCCACACTCCCTGTCCTGTTGTGAATATTGCACGCAAGTGTCTGGGAGGCCCTTTGTGTTGGGACTGGAGGAGTCTGGAAATTTATTTATTCCCAGGTTAGTAATCAACATTCTCTAGAAGTGTTGGTCATGGTGGCTGAGGGGTTGGCTTACGTCTCTCCAGTGAAGGGACTGAACTCACTAGTACTGATGGTATTGTCTGGGCCTAGTTCTGATCCACTTTCTGTCCAGATGACAGCACAATAACAATAATGGCAACAGTCATGCCACTGAGAACTGGATATGTGCCAGGTATGTTCTGAGCTCTTTACCTACATTAACTCTTTTAATCCTCACAATAACTGTATGAGAAAGGTACTATTGGTATTTATTCCCATTTTACAAATGATGAAACTGAGACTTAGAGAGGTTAAACAACCATCTAGGGTCACACGGCACGTAACTGGCCAAGCTGGGATTCAGACTGGCTCAGAGCTCTGTGTTTGTACCCTCTATAAGACACAGCATGCTACTTTCTCTTCCTCACACTTTGTATCCTCTGCTCTCTCTCCGTAATCACTCCATGGGCAGGGACAGTGACACCTTGAGTGCTTGTTCCTACTAATCTTTAGAGAATTTTAGATAAGGCCATCATACCCTCGTAGATACCCGAACTTCCAAAGTCAAGTGGCATAAAATAGGAATTTGCCACTTTTTCCCAGGTGACCAGTCACAGCATTACATCTCTTTTTAGTGAACAGACATGTCCTAGCTCCAAGCTGCACCTCTAATATTTAGGGTCAGCAGGGGTGACAGCTTCCACTATTAGATTGTAATTTCTGGAGGGAAAAGATTCTGTCTAAGTCTTAGGCATCTTACTCCTCCCCAAGAATCCAATTCAATGTCCA